TTTAGATTTTATTTTATTTTAAGCTGAAAAATCGTAGGGATGTAAATGAAGTTATGAAACAATTTTAACTTCTGAGGGTGCATTTTGACATTTTTTTTACTTGTGAGAGTGCATATTACTTCCTCCCTCCTATAAACATATTTTTGTTTTTACTTTTGGTAAATTTAAGAAAGGTAAAATTTTGTGTTAACTTTCCAAAAATAACTTTGATGTGGTGAGTAAAAATAGAATGTGATGAATATATAGATTATTACTGAAACGGTATAATATGATAAGTAGGTTAAGAATTAAAAGTGGTGATTTTTTAATATGAAAGAGAATAATTTTGGGGGATAAGAAAAAAAAGAAAGGATAAGGAGATTTTGGAACGGAGAGAGTAATTCTTTGGAACGGAGAGAGAGTATTGACCTAATTTAAGATCGTGAAAAGTAAAAATAGAAATAATAAAAAATAGAGGGGGGGGGGGATAATAGTATATTCATTATTGAGTAGTCCGTATTTTGATAATGAAACCAAAATGAAGTCAAAACGACATTAAAACGTATACTTATTTTCCAACATGATCCTTTCTAATCATATATTTTTCCAACTTAGTCAATTTTCGAAATAAAATCTCATAAAAAATGGTCTCCTGGCTTCGTTCAAACATCGTGAATCAATTAAAAGGGAAGAGTCATGCTTTGGTTTTTCATATTAAATGAGTTTTTACATCAAAAGTAGAGAAATTTGAAAAAAAATCCAATTATATATGATCAACTTGAAAAAGTAGTATAAGTTTTAATGCCATTTTGACGCTATTTTGATGACCGTTGGTTGGGGAGCTAAACTAGGTATTATTTTCAATTAGCGAGTATTATCTCGGTAATTAGTTCATTTTGGGGACTAATTTAAAAAAATACATAATTATTGAGTATCATTTTGAGAATTTATCCTATATTATATTAGTGAATATAAAATATTCACAAATATTCTCGGGTATTTTGAGTTTTTTTTTTGGAGCAAACCCATCACATAACATATTAACATATACTCCGTATACCGTATATTAAGGAGTGCAAAATATACGAAGTATTTAAAGAATTGAAGATATTATACTCCCTCCGTCCCAAAAAACCTTTCTCCTTTTTTTCATCCGTCCCAAAAAACACTTTTCATTTCTAATAAAAAGTCTCTTTTTTCCCTTACTTTTTCATACGCTACATATCACATCATACCTTTTTACTAATAATTTATTCATCAAATCATACATTTACCCATCACATTAAAGGATATTTTTGGAAATTCAATATCAAAATACACTCTCTTTAAATCACTCTCCAAAACCAAAACTCTCATGTTTTCCGGGCGGAGGGAGTATGTAGTTTATTTACATTATTTTTCTCTCCTATATGTAATTCTCTGTTACCAAATATTATCTTAACATGCAACGGGAACATTATTGTTGGACGGAGAAAGTATTCTTTGGCCTTGTTTAGGATTATCGTTTTCAATTAGCGTTAGCGTTTTAGATAAAATATTAACTAACAGTGCAGATTAATTCAGATTACGCTAATGCTAAAAGCTACCGTCAGATAGCTTTTCAAAACGCTAACGCTAATTTATATTGCTGATGTCAAACAGGACATTTAACAACCGTATTCGGTCAAATGTGGAACTTTAAATTCTTTTTAAATCATTTATAATCCAGATATTTGAAAGATGTTTTTGGAATTGTGCTATTAGAGTTCTCAGGTTTACATGTTTTCTCACATATTTTTTTTATAGACTCATAATTGTTTTTTTATAAGACTCAATACATATAATCATTTTATGTATTAAAATGCATGAAATAAATATTGACCCAAGGACAACCAAATGAATTTGCATCTTCTTTAAACATAAAAAGAATTTTAATTTATTAAACTTTAAACAAGTCTAATATATATTTTGAAGTTCAACCAAATTGAAGCCTAAGTTAAAAATAATCTGGAGTTATTATACTTTATTAAATGATACTTGTAGACTTTTTAAAGCATGGAAATCTTAGGACTATATATATATAAATATATGAAGATACCTGGAGTATGTGCAGTGGCGGATCCAGGAATTCGGGGTAGATGGGGGCACAGCCAGCCGCACAGGTGCACAACTGGTCAGAGATCCCGGAGTAGTGCCCCTGATTTTTTTTAAATAGACAGTATAAAATGACAAAAAATAATAAATTTATTTTAAACATTTTTTGAATGTAAAATATTTTTTAATAGGTAATATAAAATTTTATTCCAAACAATAAAGTATACAGAGTATGCAATAAAATATACTTTACTTCAATAAAATTAATCAAAAAAAAAACTAAATTAGATAAGGTTCCATTAATTTTGTTGGGAATACATAATTATAGATGGGGTCAACCCCAATTTAGATGGGGGCATGCAACCCCAAATATATAAATTTTTTCAAAAAAAAAAAAATAGTTTAACACCAAATATTAGTAGATGTGACATTAAAAGATAAATTTCTTTGCCGACTCACAAAACATAATACGAGTAGAGATATGGAATCTACAAAAGTGTGAAAATGGAAAGAGAGACCCCCCCCCCCCCGAGCAAAAGTCTTTTATCTTTATACTCCATTAATATTGTCACAAAATTATCTTCAATTTTTTTAAGGATTGTTTGACTAAAATAATTATCAAAATTCAGGTATGATCAGTAAGATTTAATTTGTTTTATATTTTAATTCTTTAAATTCTGATATGCACCACTAAAATTTATCCAAAAATCTAATCTTAATTATAAAATTATTGTGTGCCCAATTAAAGAAAGTGTTTAGGCGGTGTCCATTCTATCGATGTTATTCAATCATTTCATTAGTGGAATCCCAAACAACTCACCATGGTAATTAAAAATCGTTCAAGTTGGAAGGGGCCTAAACTCTAGGGCATAATTAGCTTAGTATATTTAGCTTGGCATATGCATTGATTGTTTTGCCCACTAAGTTTTCTTGCGTCAATTTTCGAATGTTTAGTGCTGTAAAAAGAATTGGAATATTTGCACTATGGACGAAAAAAATAATAGAATCCTCCCTTTAATTAAAATAAACATAGTCGGTGCGTGGTCCGTAATATTACGAGAACTAACCTATCACGAATCTTACTTATTGAAAGTACTCATTAAAAAAAATATTTTTATTCCTACTAATTCTTATTTATCTATTACTTGATACATTTTTACTAAGAATTTGATCTTGAGATCATACTTTTACTCCTCACATAAGGGTATTTTGGGAAAGTCAATACAAATATTTCTTTTTAAATTTTCCAAAAATCAAAATGGGACGGAGGAAGTAAAAAACTAAATACAGAGTAAATTTGTGTATTTATGAGGACTCATGTAATCCTTAGCTTCACCATAAAGCCTCTTTCTTATGAAATTACTAATACGGAATTATACTATTATGTACGTGCGACGAACGCAAAGGTGTACTGCATGCATGACTTTATGAAACAATACTTTTGTTTCGAAGGCGACTTTCTTTTTTTGTTTTTCTTACAAAATTAATTAAATTTATACGGAGTAGTATTATTATCTATATGTATAAAGAGATCGAAAAGTAGCCCCTAAAAAGGATTGGTAGGGGAGAGTGGAATGCATTGTAAAGCAAACTTGCCGGCAAAGAACCAATGAATCATCAAATTGTACGGAGTAACTTTTTATTTTTCTTATTTGTGCAGGAAAAAATATAGCAACTCTTCATTAGAAGGAAAAGGCAAAAAATAGTAATGAAAAGTGGACATTTCTAAGTGATGGCTAATACGGAGTAGAAGAAAATGTATTTGTATTTGAACATTATATTAATAATTTAGATAAATGGTATTTTTCTGTAAGGAAATAAAGATAAACAGTATTTAATTATCTTAACTCTTAAGAAGACTTTGTGGCCTATAATTTAAGAAAGCATCAAATATATCATGATTCATGACTCACAGAAAATGTAGAAAACCCACTAAGTACAATACCTATATGAAAGATAAAATACGCCATCCCTTTCAAAAAATCCTTTTTTCTTTAATTTTGTGTCCTACAAAATTTTTCTTTTTCCTTTTAAAAAATTATTTTTATCCATATTAATTCTTATTATGTTTATCACTTCAAATCTTTTTACTAATAATATACCATCACATCCAGATTTTTTTAGAAATACAATACAAAATTATCCTTTACTTAAAATTTCCTAAAATCAATATAAGAACAAGTTTATGAGACGAAGGAAGTAGTATTTAATTATCTTAACTTTGAAGAAGACTTTCTGTTCCTAACAGTTTCCTTGTTCCAAAATACATTTTTTTTTCTTTCTATTAAAAAAATCACTTCTACACATACTAACTACTTACACTATCCATTACATCATATCTATTCACTAGTAATTTATTCATTACATCCTAATTTTATTTATAACATCAGAGTATCTTTAGAGGGTCAATACAAAAATAAAAACCACTCTCTTACAGAAAAATAAAAAAGGAAGGAGATAGTGTGTGTGTACAGACACGCACACACGTACTTTTATTCAAATAAAAATGCATACGATAATTAGATTAAAGATATAAGAGCTATCAAAAATTAAAAACTGGTTATTCATACATTAAGAGAAATATTTTAAGAGGGAAGAAATTATATATAGTTGTAATAAATATTTAATTTTGTATCTTAGAAAAAACAAATATTGAATATCTAGTACTACTTTTCGTAGAAAGACCACAGTTTTGGTGGGGAAGTAGTTTTAGAAAAAACTCATGTGACTGTTATATTGTACGGGGAATTGATGTAACTATATTTTTTTAGGACTATTGATTTAACTCAACGATCCTACAGAATTTAGAGATTTATGGATTTAATATATACCCCGTCCGTATAGCGGACTCTCGTCCCATCTAGGAAAGTGAAGTGTAGGCCCTATGGGAACAAACTCCACTCATATCCACACCTATAAATACCCATTTCATCACAACCCATTTCCATATCATAACTCTCATTTTTTTTTATTCAAACAAAAAAAAACAATACCTATCTAGAGAGAGAGTGAGAGAAAATACTCACTCATCTCTTTCTTTTTCCCTATTTACTAAAAACCCAAACCCTAATTTAAACAAAAAAAAAAAGGATGATGATGAGCAGCATCAGATCCGCAGTGTCCACTCTCATGCCCAAACAAAAACTGCCAAACTCATTCCAGTCTTACCTCCACAGCTCCGGCGGCTTCAACCTCGGAATCCTCCACCCTCCCCACAACCCCCGGAAGGACAAGCTCCTCGTCGTCTTGGGTACCACCGGCGCCGGCAAATCTAGACTCTCCATCGACCTCGCCTCCCGCTTCTCCGGCGAGATCATCAACTCCGACAAAATGCAGGTCTACCGCGGCCTCGACGTCCTCACCAACAAGGTCACCAATGACGAGCGCCGCCACGTCCCCCACCACCTCCTCGGGGTCGTCGACCCCGCCAAGAACTTCACGGCGAAGAACTTCTGCTTCGCCGCGACGGAGACGATCAAGTCGATCACCGCCCGGGGCCACCTCCCGATCATCGCCGGCGGCTCCAACTCATTCATCGAGGCTCTCATGGATGACAAGGACTGCCGGTTGAGGTCCACGTACGACGTCTGCTTCCTCTGGGTCGACGTGTCCATGCCGGTTCTCCACTCATTCGTGTCGGACCGGGTGGACAAGATGGTTGACCGCGGGTTGGTCGAAGAGGCCCGGTCGGCCTTCGACCCCAAGAATGGTGACTACTCCACCGGAATCCGGAAGTCGATCGGCGTCCCAGAGTTCCACCGCTACTTCCAAGCGGAGGAAACGGCGGATGCCGGCACCCGCGCCGCCCTACTCAAAGAGGCAATCGACGAGGTGAAGGTGAACACGTGCGTCTTGTCGAGTCGGCAGTTGGAGAAGATAAAACGGCTGAGGGACGTGCGGGGGTGGAAGTTGCACCGGGTCGACGCCACCGAGGTGTCCCGGATGAAGGCGGCCGGCGGCGGCAAGGACAAGGAAATGTGGGAGAATCAGGTGGTGCGGCCCAGCGCAACAATCGTGACGAGATTCCTACACAACAGGTTCGGGTCGCTGATCTATGCAGATGCCGCCACCGCCATCAGACCGCCGGCCGTAGGTATGGGCCTGGCGGCGGCGACTCACTGAGTTCAACTGATATTCCCTTACCATATTTTTCGACTTATGAAACCCCGAAAAGCCACCCAACCCTACCCCTTTTCACTTCCTTTTTTTACATTGTGATGTGACAAAGCCAATTTTTGGGAAGTTAAGGGAAGGATAGAACGTGGTGTGTACGTCCTCAGGTGAAAACTAAGCGAAATTCACTTTTTTTTTTCCTTTTTTTAGGGGGGGGGGGCTCCATCATATTTGTAATTTGTAATTTGTTTAATAAATCTTACGGAGTATATTACAACATAAATTTCATTTCTACTCGTGTGATGAAATAAAAGGTTCGGAAATTTCATTTCAACTAATTTGTTTAGTAATTATTCATTTCGTAAGAACAAAAGTACAAAAGCATTAAAAATATCTTTATCTTTTCTCCTTCAGCTTTTTACTTTATTATCTTATTTTATAAAAATAATACGGAATATATATGGAGTATTTAATACTCCCTCCGTCCCTTAAAATCCTTTCCTTACTGACTTTTTAGAAAATTAAGGAAGAAATATTTTTTGTGTGGACTTTCCAAAAATACCTGATGGGTAAAAGTAAGATGTGATGAATACATTATTCGTAAAAGGGTATGATGTGATAGATAGAGTATGAAAAAGTAATAGGGAATAGTGGTTTTTTAATAGATAAGGAAGTAGTTAGTGGAATAAGAAAAAAAGAAAGGGGAAGGAGTTTAAGGGACGGGGGTAGTATTTGAGAAGTGGAAGCTTGACTATGCATAGACTTGATAAAATAGAATGGAAATTAATAACCCAAACCGAAGCGGAAATCATCATAAAAGTAAAGATTTGATCTATAACCGAATGCCCGAAAAGATGAAATCAAACTAAATATATTCATACCCGATTTTAGATAAAAAAAAAACGATTAGATTTGAATCACTTAGATCTCAAATCAACTTAACCAAAATCGATATACTCAAAATTGATAAAACCAAAAACTGAGAATAGCTTTTCAAAAAATATATTCTTACTCAATATTATAATTATGTGCACAAATATACAACTCTTTTCATGTAATTTCAATTTTTTTACGTGTGTTTTATTTTACTACTTGAAGAAGTTAGTTATGAATTAACTACTTCCTCCATCATAATTTTTTACAATTGGATCTTTTTAATAAACTTCTACACATTTTGACTTTTAATAAATACGGAGTATATTTTTAAATAAATAAATGTTTAAAAAAATTCTATATGAAAACTAAATCTTAAAATGATATCTTGTCGCCAATAAAAAATATTTTGTGAGTGAAATGAATTCATGAAGGTATAAGAAAGTAACTTTTACTTAGACCACAGGTTTTTGAACATGACTTTGGCGAAATCCAAGTAAACTTCATCAACCACATTGGCAGATTAAGGCTGAAAGTCTCCGAGTAAGTGGTATCAGGGCCTAGTTTATGGTAACATGGTATAAGTAAAGATCGACATTGACAAAGGTGTTTGAGCATATATCACGATGTATCTCTGCAAGTTAGATCTAGAAGACGCTAGTCCAGTTATATACTCCCTCCGTTCTCAAAAACAGTTCTTCTTTCATTTTTTCTATTTCCAACAATACACTTTCACTTTCTATTAATAAGCCACTTTTACCCTTACTTTTTGATACCCTACCTATCATATCATACTTTTTACTAATAATTTTTCCATCACATCTTACTCTTTCCCATCACATCAAGGGCAAAATTGGAAGTCAACTACAATTTAACACTTTTTTATTTTTACACTTTGTCAAATTAGGAACTCTTTTTGAGAAAGTATACAATAAGAAGAATGAGACCAGACTGCAAATGTTGGAGACTTATTTGGGTCCACAAGTCATTAATTTTAGTGATGGGTCTACAAGTCATTAATTTTTTAAAATATTTTTTTTAAAAAATAAATTATTTTTATATTTTATAATAAATTTATTTTATGTACACAATATTTGTCATACTAACTCAAAATAATTTATTTTCAAATACGTAATGTAAATAAATGGAGAGTGTTTTAGTTTTAAAAAATGTATACATATATTCCACCAAAAATGAGATTGAATAAAAAATACTTCCTTTGTTCCATAAAGATGTTCTCATTATAACTTTTAATAAATTTAAGGGAGAGATATTTTTGTGTTGACATTCTTTAAATACCGTTGATGCGAATATGCGATGGTAAAAAAGATGTAATGGGTATAAATAAGTAAAAATGGATGATGTGATAGAAAGATTAAAAATTAATAGGAATAAAAATAGTTTTTTATTAGAAAAGACAAGAATTTTGTGTGATAAAAAAAGAAAAGGGAAGAAATTTTTGAGACGAATGGAGTAATAGTTTAAAAAAATCTTAACATTATAAAAAATTAACCTGAAACTTTTTTATTTCTCTTTTCTCCTCTCTCTTTTTTTCCCTCTTTTCTTCATTTTTCTTTCTTTCTTCTCTTTTCTTCTTAACAGGTTCATACTGTCACAAAATCTTAATTCATTTAAAAAAAATTGCATTGACATTTTTTGTCAATGTAAACCATCACAGTAGCATCACACTACTATATATAGAAAATTAGTGCATACCTTTAGGTACAAATGAAATAAAAGTTTTTACGCACAAATAGCTTAATCCATAAAATTACTCCAATAGGAGAGGAAGAGAGTACAAATGAAAACAAAATGGAGTGTAAAGAAATGGACCCCGGGGTGGGCATATAGTTTAGATTGCACTTTTGGGGTATGTGGGGGTGCGGCAGCTTTTTAGGGAGATTGAGTGCCAAATTAAATAATGGGGACGAACTGAGTATAGTAGTATCTCTGTGTATTTGTCCACTTTCATTTTTACACACCATTCAATGTACTTCTTTAATCCATTTTATCTTGTAATTTGTATATTAAAAAGTTATAGAAATTATATATTAATAATCTATATGTTAAGACAAATCAAACAAGATCACACATGACTATATTTAGGCTTTCATAGTGAGAGAATTTGATAAGTCAAAGTGGTTAAATGAACAGTGGGGAAAATGCACCACAGCCCCCTATGGTTTCAAAAAGGAGCTCCAACGTCCCTCGTGGTTTTAAAAGTAACTTGTAATATCCCTCTGGTTTGTAAATGGTGCACATGCACCCCATCTGATCAGAATTGGTTGTTATTCGATACGCACCCTATCAGTGTAGTATCACCATGGAACATTTGATTCCTAATGTTTTTTCAATCCAATCTTACATCAATGCTTATTCGGACACCATAATGCCGCTTCCCGATGAGGCCGAATGACCTACTCCGTTTCATTAAATAATAAATCCTAGTTTATGTTTCGAATAATTAATTAAGGAAACGGAGTAGCGAACTCCGTCCCACTATTATTTTTTTAAAATCAATTTTTTTCTTAATTTCTCAACTTTGTTCCTCTATTATTTTTTAAAATCATTTTTTTTCTTTATTTCTCATAATTGAATTACAAAAAAATATTATAAAAACTAGCAAATTAATTACATATAATGAAACAAACAATCTACTAATAGTAAAATTCATAAATAAAATAATTATTTATTGACTTTAAATAATGCACCATACACCAAAATTAAAATAAGAAGTAAATCACAACAAATTTATTGATAGAGTATATACCGTAGTATAATTTATTCATTCATAAAAATAAGGTTACAAAACACATGTCATAACTAATTTATTTTGTGAAATTTAAAAAACACAAACTTAGACATAATTGAAACCCATGAAATAGCTATTGTTCATTGCAGCGTCGCCATGATCGGTAGTCCATATTATTTGGATGACGAGTTCTTGTAGGTCGATCGATTTGTGTCCTTGCTCGTGCAGTTGGTCTCACTATCTCGTATCCTGGAATAGGCCATTCGGCCTCATCGCGAAGCGGCATTATGATGTCCAGATAAGCGTTAATGTAGGATTGGATTGAAAAAACATTAGGAATCAAATGATCCACGGTGACACTACACTGATCGGGTGCGTATCGAATAACAGGCAATTCTAATCAGATGGGGTGCATGTGCACCCTTTACAAACCAGAGGGATATTACAAGTTACTTTTAAAAACACGAGAGGTGTTGGAGCTCCTTATTAAAACCATAGGGGGGTGTGGTGCATTTTCCCCAATGAACAGTTCCAAAAGTCAAAAGTGGACGAATATAGCGGGACGGAAGGAGTACTTACTAGGCATGGGTTTGTGGGTCCAAAAGGAGACTTTGTAGAAGAGAGTTTTCCATATGTCACGTGCCACCATCATCCACACATTATGCTTTGGTTCCCCCTGACGAGCGAATGATATAACTAATGATTGACCAAAACCAGAAGCTGCTTACGTCTTTCTCATCTTTTTCCAAACACTTTCTTCCTGAATTTTCTCCCCCTCCCATCCCTTCTTAGCTTCTCTCTTGAATTGTGCCCTAATTTTTCTCTTCCAATTCCTTTTATGTTGAACCCTAATTTCTTTCTTCCATTTCGTTTTATGTTGAACCCTAATTAATTAATATAAGGATAAAAATTAGCCTAATGTATAGAGGCCCTTTCAGAAGTGCCTTATAAAAAATTTACAAGATCTTGAATTTGAGGAGATAATATCATACTACTCCCTCCATTTGGAAAAACCCTTCCCATTTAATTTGGAGGCAAAAATAAGAAAGTGTTAAATTATAGTTGATTTCCAATTTTGCCCATGATGTGTTGGGTAAAAGTAAGATGTGATAGATAGATTATTAGAGAAAAAGTATGATGTGATAAGTAGGGTATGAAAAAGTAAAGGTAAAAGTGGGTTTTTAATAGAAAGGGGAAGTGTTTTGTTGGAAGTGGAAAAAATGAAAGAGGAAGTGTTTTTGAGAACTGAGGGAGTAATACAGAGTTTTAGTGAGGGTACTTGATATTCAAACATGTGGTATCAGAGTCAGGTTCGATGGCCCGTAGTGGCAAATTGACATGTTCGATGTTCTTGAAGTGACATCGACCAATTGAACCAGTGAAGGACTAGAGTGCATGGATGCGCAGAGTGCCGGGGGAGGTGTGGGGATCAGAGTTCATTGCGTGATGGTTTGCCATTAGGAGTAAGCTGTGGTGTCCTTAGTTGTGAAGAGTTCACAGAGGATTGTGTGCCAATCAAACAGAACCGTATGGGATCTAGAGATGGTGCCATGTGTTATTGTAAAGAGTGATCAACAGTGTGCAACTAGACAAGAAGGTGATCTCCAAGCTGGCAGAGTTGAGATCTACGGTAATGCCTTGTGTTGAAAGTCTTTTTGACAGGAACAGGTGGTCGGGCACGGGTCCGCGGGTTTTTGCATGCGGTGGTGTAAGATGGTGGCAGATTAGGAATAGATAAACACTAGAGGAGAGGTAACAAGATTGTGTGGTCTAGGTTAAGTTTCAGGGGAGGCTCGTCGGGGAGCATACCTCATGAGACATTGTAGAGTGAAGGAGAGACCTAGATAAATAGGTTAACCCAACTTCATTCGTATGATGGCTTTTATGAAGTGCCCAAAAATAAATCTTGAAGGACTAGACTCAAATCGGCCGGTAAGTATCTTACAAATGCAGGGTTGAGTTGAGGACACACGCGGTCCCAACTATAAAACATTGTAAGTGCCTATACAAAAAGTATCATCTCGTATCACCGTTATTCTGGTATTAACAAAACTAGCCAAAGTTAAGAAGGATGGTAATCTTACACCAATTTTATTGGTGTAAGATTGTAAACTTGCTTGTTTATACCCACTTAGCTCCCCCCTCCCCCGGTAAACCATCCACACCCGTCTATTATGCACTCCCACACCCCTCCAATTACATCATCCAAATTATTGTTGAGTTTATATACTATCAATCTTTTTTTACTCAAAATTTAAATGATATGATGCAATTAGAGTGGTGCAAAAGTGCGCTACGAACGAACTAGGTATGGAGGACTAACTAGGAGTTAGGGTTAGAACAATGAATTTTATGATTGAATGTTTCAATAATTCAATTGGTGTAACAATTTAATACCAATTTTATTGGTGTAAGATTGTCATCCCTCTATAATTAGAGCATCAACAGTGGCAAGGCAAAAAAAAAAAATACCACACGGTGACGTGAAACATTTTAACCAATCAAAAATAGTCCAGTCAGCGTGTGTCAAGTGAATAGAGTGACAAGCTCTATAGTGGCAAGTTATTATTTTTATCATTTTTTTTTACATTTTTTATGTTTTATTTTATCAAAAAAAATAATTCTACCTTATTATACATTTTCTTCATAAAAAAATTAAAAAAAATTTAAAAAAAGGAAAAAAAGAAAGGTTGAGTGGCACACCAATGCCTCACCAAGCAAGACATTTTGGTCTTGCCCTGCCATGATATGAGAAGAAGGAGTTGATGTGCCAGTGCAAGGTATTCCTCTTCCTTGTCACTGCACATGGTCTTAATTGCTATCCCCTATATTTTTTTCTAAAAGAAGATAAAATGTTGTGGGGAGTTTTTAGAAAATAAATAAAAGTGGTGTACTAATAAGAAAAGTTGTATTACCAATATCACTCCCTTAGTTTGATGGGAAGTACTCTAGTAAACTACAAAAAAAACTCATGTGAGTATTACTCCCTCCGTCCCAAAAAGAATGTTACGTTTCATTTTTTGCGCATCCCTTAAAACACTTTTATATCGTCTCAAATGCCAAAAAAACTTTCAAAACAGTTTCATCTTATAATAAAGAGTAAATATGGTAAATTTTAGAATTTTTAGATGTAAGTAGCAGTGCTTTTTGTGATATACAAAAAAATGAAATGTAACATTCTTTTTAGGACGGAGAGAGTATATGGAAAGAGAATTGATTTTACAGAAATTATATTTATGGATTTATTATAACGCTCATCCGTATACTATACTGGTCGCATCTAGGAACGTGAAGTGTAGGGCCTATGAACTAACTCCCCTCAAATCCACAAGCTACCATAAATACCCACTTCATCCCCCCCTCAATCCTCATCTCCATAATTCATCCATCCATCTCTTCTTCACCCAAACCAGCAAACAACAACAATACCAATCTAGAGAGAGTGTGAGTATTCACATTTTTTTTCTTCAACTCACCAGAAGCAAATTAAAACCCTAAAAAAAGATGATGATGAGCAGCATCAGATCCGCAGTGTCCACTCTCATGCCCAAACAAAAGCTGCCAAATTCATTCCAGTATTACCTCCACAGCTCCGGCGGCTTCAACCTCGGAATCCTCCACCCTCCCCACCACCCCCACAAGGACAAGCTCCTCGTCGTCTTGGGTACCACCGGCGCCGGCAAATCTAGGCTCTCCATCGACCTCGCCTCCCGCTTCTCCGGAGAGATCATCAACTCCGACAAAATGCAGGTCTACCGCGGCCTCGACGTCCTCACCAACAAGGTCACCGAAGACGAGCGCCGCCACGTCCCCCACCACCTCCTCGGCGTCGTCGGCCCAAAAAAGAATTTCACCGCTAAGACCTTTTGCTTCGCCGCGACGGAGACGATCAAGTCGATCACCGCCCGGGGCCACCTCCCGATCATCGCCGGCGGCTCAAACTCCTTCATCGAGGCTCTCATGGATGACAAGGACTGCCGGTTGAGGTCCACGTACGACGTCTGCTTCCTGTGGGTCGACGTGTCCATGCCGGTACTCCACTCATTCGTGTCGGACCGGGTGGACAAGATGGTCGACCGCGGGTTGGTCGAGGAGGCGAGATCGGCCTTCGACCCCAAGAATGGGGACTACTCCACCGGCATCCGGAAGTCGATCGGCGTCCCGGAGTTCCACCGCTACTTCCAAGCGGAGCCCACGGCGGATGCCGACACCCGCGCCGCCCTCCTCAACGAGGCAATCGACGAGGTGAAGGTGAACACGTGCGTCTTGTCGAGCCAACAATTGGAAAAGATAAAACGATTGCGGGATGTGCGGGGGTGGAAGTTGCACCGGGTCGACGCCACCGAGGTGTCCCGGATGAAGGCGGCCGGGGGCGGCAAGGACAAGAAAATGTGGGAGAATCAGGTGGTGGCGCCGAGCGCCACCATCGTGACGAGATTCCTCCACAATAGGTTAAGGTCGCCGATCTACGCGGATGCCGGCATCCCCATCAAACCGGTCGCCGGAGTAATGGGCCTGACGGCGGCGATTCACTGAGACTCCAACAGATTGTGACTTTTCACCCTTACCATAGCAGTGGGACTAATCAAACACCGATGAGCCACCCAAACCCTACCCTTTATACTTCCTTTTCTTTTTTATGTGCATATTGATGTAACGATGCCATTTTTTTGGGAAGTTGTAACGGATAGAACGTGGCGTGGGCTGAAGTAAATACTCAGTAGTTAGAAATTTCACTTTTTTGGGTGGAACTGTATCACATACTCGGTATATATGTAATTGTAATTTTTGGGCTTGAAACAATGTTGGCATTACCTTCTCTTTTAATCCCTTCCAAAAAATCTTTCAAAAATTTATTAAAAAATTTTTTTTACACTATTAATTTAAATGATATCTATCACATTGTATTTAATTACTAGTAATCAACTCGTTATATCTTTGTTTTATCCATCACATCAAGTGTATTTTGGGAAAATCAATATTAAAATATTTTTCCTTAAATTAAATGTCAAAATAAGAAACCTTTTAAGGGACGAAGGAAGAGTATTTTGGGAAGTTTAGATATCAGATCTGATCACATCAAGAAAAATAATAAAAAATTATATTAATATTATTCAAGGATTGAATAATAATTACTATTCAATTAAATCACATTACTTTATTTAAAACTACACATACCTAAATATTAATATTATAACTTTAAATTTGTTTATTATTATTATTATTATTATTATTATTATATTTATTGTTATTATTATTATTATATCGACTACAAAACATTATTACTAATTGCTTAGCTTGTAGGAAAGTTGCATGAAAGCAATATTAAGACTTAAAAAGTTATATTTTTCATATTTTAAAATAGTTGTTTTAAAATACTTGTTTATAGAAAAAAATCTTTGTATAAAAGAATTATACAAAATTTAATATTTAATACCATAAAAACTTCTATACTTAAAAAGACTTATTTTATACTTAAAAATATTTAATATGCCCAAGGGTGAATTTAGGAAAAAAATTAGTTATTGTCAATGATTTTTTTATTTTTCTTTTCTATGTATACATGTATTATAATACTTTAAATTTTTAAATTTTGTCTAATAATTATAAGTCTAATTTAAACTAAATTTAAATTTAATTACACTAGATCACACCAAATCTAATTAGATCATATCATATCTAATCAAATCAGATCTAATCAGATCAGATAAGATCTCATCAGATAAGATCAAATATAATGAGACCTTAAAAAATTTAGATTAGATTCAATCAGATCAGGACTACGAAACAGAGCTTTGGGAAGACTTTTTGTAATAATCAAATGTATAGATATATACAAGAATCATTTCCCTATTGTTTTATAATGATATCAAAACAAATTTTCAATTCTTGCACATATAGTCATACTGGTTTTTATTTTGTACTCCCTCCATTAAAAAGAGTTTCTACTTTAATAAAGTGTAAAAATAAAGAATTGTTAAATTGTAGTTTACTTCCGATTTTGCTCTTGATGTGATGGGTAAAAGTAAGATTTGATGGATAGATTATTAGAGAAAAAGTATGATGTAATAGATAAGGTATGGAAAAGTAAGGGTAAAAATGTTTTTTTAATAAAAAGTAAAAATGTTTTGTTGAAAATAGAAAAAATGAAAGAAAAAAAGTGTTTTAGAGAACGATGAATAAATTTTTTAGGTATAAATTTATTTATACTACCAAACAAAATAAATTTTAAAAAAAGGAAAGAGACAAGTAAAGAATCAAGATTGTACTTTTGATTTAGGAATGTGGGGATACCGCAGCTTTTTACAAGATTTCATGGGTGTGTGGGCCATAAAACGAGACTTTGATGGCCATAAGAGTTTTCTCCATAGATATATATCACGTGCCACCATCCGCCCACAGTCCCACACACAGTGCTTCAGTTCCCAGATGGACGAATTGATTCACCAACCCGAAGCTGCTTTCACCTTTCTCCTTCTTTTTCCCAACACTTTCCTCCTCATCTTTCCTTCTTCCATTCTTTTCCTCACGAGCCCTAATAACTTTAACTGTTTGTCTAATGACATTTGCTTTCTAGAAATATCGCCTCATTTTGAACTATGTGTAAAATTTTACTCTTTTTAAGAATTGGTTTACAACCATGCTACACTTACACCAAAAAATATATCCCATTTGTACACCACAGTTATGCACAAACATTTTGATGGTTTACACCGACACAAGTGTTGGTGCGTTAACAAAAATTTACACGGACACAAAGTGTTGGTGCGTTAACAAAAATTAGTTTTACACCAACACAAAATATTGGTGCAAACCTGCGGGGTATAAATTGGGGTACAAATAGCTAGCTTAATCCATTGGTTTATTTGCAAACATATATATATATATATATATATATATATATATATATATATATATATATATATATATATATATATATATATATAAACAAAAAAATAAAAATTATATATTTCATATTTAAAAAGTACGGCAAGCGTTCTAGTTTTAATTTTAATGGATATAAAGAAAATGTATTTTGTTGTTGACTTTCCAAAAGGGCCTTTAGAATTTGTTGTTGAATAAAAATTACATACTCCGTATTTTCTATTTTTATTCATTTCATGTTTTTATTTTTGTGATTCACATGTATTCTTATTATTTCTTACATTTTCAATATGAATAATACGGAGTAAATTTTTATTATAAAATTGTTTCTTTATCAATTTACATGACACTAAAATTCTTGATATTTTATTAATCTAAATTGACATCAAGAAACATCAATATTTTAATTAAAAAATAATTATACTACTCCCTATATCGTTATTAATTGGCATGTATACTATTCACATGGTCAAATTTAATTTATTCATTTTCTTTCCATATTATGAATATAATAATTAATAACAATTACAATAATAATAATAATAATAATAGTAATAATGATACTAATAATGATAACAACAAAAAAATTAATAAAAAAATTTATGAAATATTAACTTAAACAAATTTTCTAAGTTCCTTCCATTTTCAATTTTCTTCTAGTTGTTTTCATTCTTCCAGTTATTTTCTAGTTTCTCCTATTTTTTTCAATTTCTTATAATTTTTTCTAATTTCTTCTAATTTCTCCTCACATCCAATTTTTTTCACTCCTAAAGAACCCGCTCTTGGGCTAGTTTTAGTTTACACACACGCACACACTTCATGTATATGTTGTCTCTCTTTACTTCCTCGCTCACCAAACACGTACTAATGCTGAGATTTTTGGTTATCTATTTTGCATTCAGGACTTTTGTATTGGGTTGCATGCATAGAACTTGAATTCAATTCTTATTTGCGTGTAGGTAATTTAATTTGCATCTATGGACTTGCTCTTATACTCCATTGTACTCCCTCCATTCCACAAAACTCTTCCCTTTTCGTTTTTTTTAATTCCTTAAAACACTTCCACTTTATATTAAAAAACCACTTTTACCCTTACTTTTTCATACCCTACCTATCACATCATACTTTTTCACTAATAACTAAATTATTACATCTTACTTTTACCAATCACATCAGGAATAAAATTGAAAAGTTAACCAAAATTACTCTTTCCTTATTTTTGTCCAAAGTCAAAAGTGGAAGGGTTTAAAGAAACGGAGGGAGTAATAAAAATCATGTTTTAACAGGGGTTTCAAAGAGACAGCATGAGTAGACGCGAATTTAGAAAAGAGGCACAAACACATCTCATCCTTCCTTCCGCGTGTATAAGAATCCGGGAAAAGCCTTGGTCGACATACACGAGTTCATGAGTTCATCTCAATTCATACTTCTTCTTGTCAAGAGTTTGAGTTAGACATATTAGGGTTGTGTTATACCCCCTCCATCCCTGAAAACCTTTCTCCTTTTTTTTTTCATCCGTCCCAAAAATAGTTCTCATTTATATTAAAAAGTCACTTTTACCCCTTACTTTTTCATACCCTACCTATCACATCATACCTTTTTACTAGTAATCTATCCATCAATTCATACTTTTACCCATCACATCAAAGGACATTTTTGGAAATTCAATACCAAAATACACTCTCCTTAGCTTAAATCCCTATTCAAAATCAAAATTCTCATGTTTTCCGGGACGGAGAGAGTAAAATAAAAGCTGATCATCGAATGTCATTATAAGTTAAACATATTAGGGTTGTATAGATTGAGAAGAAGGAAATCAAAAGAAGAAGGCCAAGGAATTACATTTCAGGAAGAAAGTGTTGGGAAGAAGAGGGGAAAGAAAGACGAAAGCAGCTTCTGGTTTGCATTGGTCATTCATTATTTTTAAGGGGAACAAAAGCATAGTGTGTGGATGATGGCGGCACGTGACGGATCCAATAAAACACTTTCTCAGCCATCAAAAGGTCTCTCTGCGGCCCCACACAGCCACGCAATCTTGTTAAAAAGCTGCGTACGTACTAAAACTGAAATCTAACTGTATTCGGGCCCATCCGCCTTTTGTTTCGTGTATCTAATTTCTACACATACAAGTCCCCCTATTTATTCTAAAATTCACGTGTAAAATATGAATTTTTAAAAATATATTTTTTTTAAATTTCATTGTTCTTTTTTCTTAATTTACCAGGCGCAATACGAAAAATTATTTTATGTGTGAAAGTCTATAAAATTAGCATAAATCTAATTATCACAAAAGAATTTTTTGATAGGCCAAAACCTACCTTTAGCATTTTCAAGTCATACTTCATCCGTCCCATAAAGTCAGTGCCATTTCAAAAAATTTGTGTTCCTTAAAGTCCGTCTCATTTATATTAAAAAACTACTTTTATCACTTACTTTTTCATACTCTACCTATCACTTCATGTCTTTTTTCTAATAATCCACTCATCACATCTTACTTTTACCCATCACATCAAGGGTATTTTTGAAAAGTCAACACAAAATTATCCCTCTTTATTTGACCACTTTAGTCTAACTGTCCCAATCTTTAAGGGACAGAGGGAGTATTATTTTTTACCATCCCAATCTCTAACCGTCCCAATATTTTAATTATTATTACTATTACTATTTTTAATATTACTATGACTATTATTATTATTAAACTCTCTCCGTCTCACAAAACCATTCTCCTTTCTTTTTTCATCTGTCCCAAAAATACTTCTCTTTTCGTATTAAAAAGTCACTTTTACCCCTATTAATTTTTAACCTACCTATCGCATCACACTTTTTCTCTATTAATCTACCCA